CACACACACACACACACTCACACACACACACTCACTCACTCACACACACTCAGACACAGACAGACAGACACACACTCACGCACGCACGCACGCACACAGACAGACACACACACACTCTCTCTCTCACACACACACACACACACACACACAGACAGACAGACACACTCACTCATTCACTTACTCACTCACTCACTCACACACTCACTCAGACACACACACACACTCTCACACACACACACTCACTCACACACTCTCTCTCACACAGACACACACACTCAGACACAGACACACACACTGGTGTGTTTTGATTGTGAGTGCAGTCATGTGATGTGATGTGAAGTTGGTAGATTTAACCGGGTTGGTTAGCGGGGCGTCTTGTTTATAAGTGCAGTAGTTCTAAATATAACCGTCAGTGTGAGGAGCGACTGAAACACGAGTCCCGGCTCCCATCGACCTCCCTGACTCCTCATCCACTCTGCCAAAGGTCAAAGGTCATCAGTGGTTGTGGTTCACATGCTGTTCATGCAGCTTCACTGATGTTTGTGTTTCTCCTCATGTTACAGACCATCATTTTGAGCTTGAAAATAGTTTTCACAAGACTCGTGGTGGCAGAAGGTGTGTGTGAACAAACCCTGTTAGTGATCCGGCTGTGAGATGTTGTGAATGTGATTAATGTGGCTCCTCGTCTGACTTTAACGTTTGTTTAGGTACATGTATTGGACGGATTGGGGTGAGATCCCGAAGATCGAGCGCGCTGGGATGGACGGGACGCATCGCTCGGTCCTCATCGACTCTGAGATATACTGGCCCAACGGCCTGACGCTCGACTACGACCTGCAGAAACTCTACTGGGCCGACGCCAAGTTCAGCTTCATCCACCGCTGCAACCTGGACGGCTCGGGCAGGTGAGAGTGCCTCCGTCACGTGAGTCTGTGTGCCGTGTCCGTGAGCTCATGCGTGTGTGTGTGTGTGTGCGCGCGTGTTCTCAGGGAGGTGGTGGTGAAGGGCTCTCTGCCGCACCCGTTCGCGCTGACGCTGTACGAGGAAACGCTCTTCTGGACGGACTGGAACACACACTCCATCCACGCCTGCCTCAAACACACGGGAGAGAACAGCCACGAGATCCACACCAACATCTTCTCACCCATGGACATACACGTCTACAGCCAAGAGCGGCAGCCGCTGGGTAAGAGAGTTGTGCGCGTGTGTGTGTGCGCGAGTGAGTGTGAATGTGCGTTTGTGTGTGCAAGTGTGTAATGGGTGTGTGTTTGTGTGAGTGAGTGTGAGTGTGCGTGTGCGAGTGAGTGTGCGAGTGAGTGAATGTGTGTGTGTGCGCGAGTGTGTGCGTGTGCGAGTGAGTGAATGTGTGTGCGCAAGTGTATGTGTGCGTGAGTGAGTGAGTGTGCGTGTAAGTGTGTGAGTGAGTGAATGAGTGTGTGCGTGTGCGAGTGAGTGAATATGCGTGCACAAGTGTGTGTGTGTGTCCTCTCCTTCCCATGGTGCTCCTGGAGGAGTTTCCTGAAGCGATGCACAGACGGGCTGCTGGCTACGAGCCTCTGCAGAAATGATTATGACACACGACTCCCGGTTCAGCCTCTCGCACACAATGGAGCGTCTGTTCTGTCCTCAGCGCTGATTGAACGCAGAGAATTTCTCACAGCGCTGACAGAATCCTGCGTTACGCCCTCCGTCTCTCGCTGCAGAGCTTTCTCTCCGTCTTCCTCCACTCTCTGCTCTTCCTGTGCTTTCTCACGAGGGGCGCGAATCTTTAGGCACCTCATGAACCAATCAATTTAATTTAATTTAAGTTTATTTATAATTTAGATTTTTGTGTTTTAATATGTGATTATTTTTTAATGATTTAAAATATTTACACTTAAAATATTAAAATTTATTTTGAATAATCTTTGTGAGTGAGTGTGTGAGTTTTAGAGGGTTTGATCAGCGAAAAACCTTTATCTGTGAATCGATTCTGTTGGGCATTCATGCATCACAGCTGCTCGCTGACACGTCTTCATGCTCTCATGCTGTTTTCCTGGTCTGACGTGTGTGTGTGTGTGTGTGTGTGTGTGTGTGACAGAGGTGACGAGTACCTGCGCTCTGAAGAATGGAGGATGTTCTCATCTGTGTCTGCTATCTCCAGTCAAACCTTATTACCAGTGCGCCTGTCCGACCGGCGTCCAGCTACTGGACGACAACAAGACCTGCAGAGATGGTGAGACACACACTCTCTCACACACACACACACACACATATACACACACACTCACACACACACACACACACACACACTCACTCACTCACTAGTGAGTGCATCTTATAGGCTTTCACTGTTTTTCTATCAGGTTAATGTTGTTTCCTATGTCCTAACCTGACCTCTGACCCCTAAACCAGCTCTCAGAAACCTGTGCAAAACCCGAGATTTAAATAGAAACATGATTTATGAGCCCTAGTGACTCAGTCTGTGCTCAACAAGTTTCACTGTTAGTGAGGACATTTTTGAAAAGTCAAACCTTTACATGATTACAGGAATTGTTATATAGAAAGTTACAGGAGCTTATGTTTATATTGTGTGTGTGAGAGAGTGTGTGAGAGTGCGAGAGTGTGCGCAAGTGTGTGTGTGAGTGTGTGTGTGAGAGTGCGAGAGTGTGTGTAAGTGTGCGAGAGTGTGTGAGTGTGTGTGTGTGAGAGAGAGAGAGAGAGAGAGAGTGGGTGTGTGTGTGTGTGTGTGTGTGTGTGTGAGTGCGTGTGCGTGTGAGTGTGTGTGAGAGTGTGTGTGTGTAAGAGAGTGTGTGTGTAAGAGAGTGTGTGTGTAAGAGAGTGTGTGTGTGAGAGAGAGTGTGTGTGGGTGTGTGTGTGTAAGAGAGTGTGTGTGAGTGTGTAAGAGAGTGTGTGTGTGTGTGAGTGTGTAAGAGAGTGAGTGTGGGTGTGTGTGCGTGTGAGAGAGTGCGTGAGTGAGTGGGAGTGTGGGTGTGTGTGTTTGATGGTTACCAGCGGCTGCCGGCTCACTTTAATCCGCTCTTGGTTGACGTCGCAGGGTTACCGTCCGGTGGTTGCTATGGTAACGCGGTTCTCCCTGTGATCCGTGTTTGTGGGTCACATGACTGCCGGTGTGTGTCTGTACTGAGTGATCGCAGGCTGCCGTTCGCACCGGGCTGCTGGGAACGGTCTTCTCTGTTTGAATGCATTTGGCTGAAAGAGACTCATTTGTAAGGCCTTTTGTCTGCGTCCCTCCCCCCTCTGAATGGACGCCACCAGCACGGCCTGATGGGAGATTGTTTCTCTGTTCAATGGCCTCATCTTGAGCGGGTTCATTCATTCTGTGTGTGTGCAGTGACTGAACATGTTTAACACATTCTGGAGTAAAACACCCTTGTTTGCTTTAAGGCAAAACCATTGCTTTTCATGCACTGGGCAGTTCAGAGATTGTGGTTTATTTTGCTTCCGACATGTTATGCTCTTGAGTTCTGTGACCTTTGACCTCTGACCCTCTCCAGGTGCCACTCAGCTGCTGCTTCTGGCGCGGCGCACAGACCTGCGGCGGATCTCTCTTGACACGCCAGACTTCACCGACATCGTGCTGCAGACCGACGACATCCGGCACGCCATCGCCATCGACTTCGACCCGGTGGAGGGACACATCTACTGGACGGACGACGAGGTGCAGGCCATCCGCAGGTCCCGCCTGGACGGGAGCGAGGCTCAGTTCGTGGTGACCTCGCAGGTGAATCATCCGGACGGGATCGCCGTGGACTGGATCGCACGGAACCTGTACTGGACCGACACCGGCACGGACCGGATCGAGGTGACGCGGCTGAACGGAAGCATGAGGAAGATCCTGATCTCGGAGGAGCTGGACGAGCCGAGGGCCATCGTGCTGGACCCCGCCGCCGGGTGAGACCTCGTCTGCTTGAACTCTTCAGGCTGAATGAGTTTCATGTGGCGATTAGACAGCCTCTTCCTACTTCATTTCAGTCAGTAGTTCACTGATCATTCGGAGAATAATTCAGTCATAGTGCACATTCATAGCTTCACTTTAGTTTTTCTTCAGCAAACTCCGGAATTTTTGCTTTGCTTAATATGTGTTTGTTTGCTGAACGCGTATAACGGTTAAATCAGGTGCGAAACATAAATATGGATACAGCGTGTTGCCAGTTTTGAAGTCATTTAAAAACATTTTGTTCCTGAAATGTGTCCCTGCAGCACAGAAACAGTGTTGAGTCGCTGGGGGATATTTGTAGCAATAGCCAACAATACATTGTATGGGTCACAATTATTGATTTTACTTTTATGCCAAAAATCATTAGGATATTAAGATCATGTTCCACGATGATATTTTGTAAATATATAACCGTAAATATATCAACTTAATGTTTGATTAGTAATATGCATTGCTAAGAACTTCATTCACTTGGCCACATGTCACATCACATTTGAACAACTTTAAAGATGATTTTCTCTATTTTTTATATGATCTAATCTGATTTTGTGTGTGTGTGTGTGTGTGTGTGTGTGTGTGTGTGTGTGTGTGTGTGTCAGTGTCTGTCTGTGTGTGTGTGTGTATGTGTGTCAGTGTCTGTCTGTCTGACAGAGTGTGTGTCAGTGTCTGTCTGTGTGTGTGTGTGTGTGTGTCAGTGTGTGTGTGTCAGTGTGTCTGTCTGAGTGTGTGTGTCTGTCTGAGTGTGCGTCAGTGTCTATCTGTGTGTGTGTGTATGTGTGTCAGTGTCTGTCTGTGTGTGTGTGTGTGTCAGTGTCTGTCTGTGTGTGTGTGTGTGTCAGTGTCTGTCTGAGTGTGTGTGTCTGTCTGAGTGTGCGTCAGTGTCTATCTGTGTGTGTGTGTATGTGTGTCAGTGTCTGTCTGTGTGTGTGTGTGTGTGTCAGTGTCTGTCTGTGTGTGTGTGTGTGTGTGTGTGTGTGTGTCAGTGT